GTGGTGGTTGGGAGGAAGCTCCTGGGCGGAAGTCCCCAGGGAGCCCAGGGCACACATGGGCTGCTGCTTCCTGGTGCCTGTGTGCATCTCTGGGCATCAGAGTCCAGGCTGTGGAGCCTGGAGGTCCAGTGGAAAGAAGCCAGTCCTTGCTGGAAGGTTTGCTCTGGTCACCACCTCAGTCACTCGCCCACTGCTGATTTCCAAGTCCTGAGCTGCCTGCGGTCAAGTTCTGCTCTTCTGGATTCGCCAGAGCTTTTTAGAGGTGCATCTGGTATTTTGTGACTGCTGTGGTATTTGCTGCTGCTCCAGCACTGCACACCCAGGATCGAGCAGGCTTGGGGAGCTCTGGAGACAGTCCCACTGTTGACCCGCTAATGGTGCACTTTCCTGGGCAGGGTGATCATCCCCTAGCTGCTCTGGGGGTGCTGTGAATGGCCCTACCCGTCCTCTCTTTCTTACAGGCATATCTCCAGAGACCACTCCCCAATAAATCCCTCCCACAAAAAAACCTCTGTCTGAAGACACTAATTTACCCTGTCCAGTGGGGTCTGTGACCTGGGGCTATATGCCAGTCCCTGTTGGTCCACATTATCAGTGCAGGGTCCACAAAGGAACATCGAGACTTTTCCTGTCTCATAAGAGGTGTCAGGAAGTCCACCATCCACGTGTCTGACCCCTGGTGAGTCTTGGGAAAGGGGCTCCAATCTCCCCCACCCTTCTCCAACCTGGAAACCCCATCCAGGTTCCCCCAACCCTAAAGCCTGGTGCTGGGACGTACAGGCCACTGTGGGGAGCCAAGTAGCATCTTCTACTGCTAAAACCAAACACCCGGGACTGGGGCATTTATCAAGAATAGCTGTTGGTTTTGACTTATTGCTCTAGAGGTCCAACATGGTGCCGGCGTCTGCTCTGCTTCTGGTGAGGGCTGGTGCTGCTCCAGGCATGGTGGAGAAGAGGAGAAAAGGCAGCGGTTTGGGGAGAGGTCACCCGGTGAGACAGGAAGCCGGAGAAAGCCAGGCTCCCTTTATCACGACCCGCTCTCACAGTCACTGACCCACTCTAGAAGGAACTTCATTAATCCCTTCTTTGAGGTAATTAAGTAATGACCAATTACTTCCTAAAGCTCCCACTGCCTCTCAACAAGGTTACACTGGAGGCCAGGTTTCCAACACATGAATCTTGAGGACAAACCATACTCAAACCACAGCACCAAGCCTCTTATCCATTCTCCCTGGAGTTCCAGGATGCTCCTAGTCACCTGCATTGCCTTGCAAGACCTTCTGGACAGCGTCACCGCCCTTCTCTGCACCCTAGGTCCCTGGAAAACTGGCATCTACCAGGCTGGACATGACTCTGCCCCACGCAGACTCTGGGTATCTTCACCCTCTGGGTTGCCCCTGCTGTAATGGGGCCCTACCTGGGTCTTGGGGTCAATGCCCTCAGTGTGGTCTAAATGGTGCAGGCCTGACCCCACCTGTGCCTCAATTTCCTCCTCTGTAAAATGGCAAAGCAACAGGATCTCGTGGTGGTGTGGAGAGTGATGCTGCTTTGCACTCACAACAGTGACACACTGAGGCGTTTGTCATGGGTGACTTTGTCCTCCTGAGAAGCAGCGTCCTGCACACGTGGGGTCAAGACTGCACCATTTAGACCACGCTGAGGGCTTTTGACAGAATTCAGAGGCCCCACAAGAGCGCAGGGAGGGAGAGAGAGCAAGGCAGGCTCCTAAGGCCTGGGTATGGGGAAGAGTTTGTAGGGGAGAAATAACACTGTCTACAGAGCTCAGAGGAAAAGTGTCACAGCCTGGACTTCCTTGGATTCTGTGGCCCCGTCCATTGTGAAGTCTCCCACACACAGACTTAGGAGGCCATGCCCAACTTTGGCAGAGTGGTCACAAGCCGGAACTGCGGTCATTTTGTTCTAAGAAGCCCATTGTAAGCCTGACCCTCAATGTAGTTGGACAAACTTCACTCCAAGACTCGACAGTGGCCTCAGAGATGAAATCCTAACAATACTCCACTACATGCTCCATCCACAGGAAGCCACCCTGGTTCCAGCCAGAAGGAGGCCAGAAACAGCCGTGATAACCATCAACCGTGTCAGGGAGAACTCAGGAAGCCAGAGCCACCAAGTCCTTTTTAGGAATCTCAAATCAACGGGCACCTCCTCTGGGTGGGCTGCAGTGCTGGGCTCCTTGGGGACCAAGGAGGCTGAGTGTCTAATCACTGGTGTTGACAATCCTGGGCTGTAAGTTCCAGCCAGGAGCCACTAGCCACAGGAGGTTATTTAAATTCAATTAAAAGCCATTAACAGGTCCAAGGTGTGGCTCCGTGGTACACAGCTCCCCTGGCAAGCCAGGATTGGCACAGACCAGGACTGAATCCCCAGCACCACAAAAAATAAAGATAATGAAATGTAAAAGTCAGC